GGGGCGTGGCCTGCTCGCAGTCCGCGGGCGCTGCGGGCGGGGCGGGCACAAGATGGCGGCGGTACGGGCCGTGTGTGTGATGCGCGGCGAGGGGGCTGTGGAGGGCGTCATCCACTTCGAGCAGCAGGTGAGGGCACGGCAGGGCCGCCGGGACCGCCCCGGCGGGTGCGGAGCCCCCGGGACGCCCCTCTCCAGCCTGCTCGCCGTGGCGGAGAGAGCGGGCGGGCTCAGCCCGAGGGCGCTGCGGTTCCAAATGGCCGCGGCCCTCCGGAGCTGCGCTGTCCCTTGCGGCCGGCCCGGGAGCGCGGCCGCGGGGTCACTCTGCCAAAGTACGGGATCTTTCTGGAAGGCCCCGTCAGATAACAGGCACTCCTTGTGCTTAGTGATAAACAGGGGAAGGAACGCGTTCGAGGGCGTTAAACGAACGCAGACATTCCGGACAGCGCTGCCTTGGGCTCGTGGCGGGGCCTTTCTGTCACCTTGGTGTGACACGGAGCCGTGCAGTGGCAAAGTCCTTGTGCTGATCAGTGCTCTCCTTTGAAGGGTTCGGGACCCGTGAAAGTGACTGGGAAAATCACTGGCCTGGCCGATGGAGAGCACGGCTTCCACGTCCATGAGTTCGGGGACAACACCAATGGTAAGGTGTCCCTGCCGGCCCTGGTGTCCCTGCACAGGGGCTGCTCAGCCCTGCAGAGCTGCTCGTGGTGCTGCAGCAGCAGCTTGGCTCTCACGGCTGCAAATCTGTGTGAGGAAATCGTGACATTGCCGAGGAATTGCTTCCTGGATAATAAATATTCTGAGCTGAGCGTGTTGAGGCTGGTGGTCAAGAGCTGTCGTACCAAGCACTCGCCTGAGCGCTTGGATAACTCAGCGTTATGAAATAAGAAAGCTCCTGGCTGAGCCTGGGACTTGCAGGGCTGTGGCAGGTGATTTATCTGCAGGGATTAGCAGGGCATGGCACGGGAGGGGAGCTCTTTGCTGTGCCTGGGAGCGCTGTGGGAGCCGCAGCTTTATCCTGGGATCCCGCTCTGACACTGTGCTTGTTCCAGGGTGCACCAGTGCTGGCCCTCACTTCAACCCGGAGCAGAAGAAGCACGGGGGTCCCAGCGATGCTGAGAGGTGAGTCCAGGGCATGGGCACTGCCAGAAAATCCCTGGGAATCCCTGCAGGCTTCCCGAGGTCACAAAGCTGCTCTTTGGTAACTCCTGCAGTTTGTTTCCCTGAGAGTGTGGTGTGAAACGCTCCTGGGGACAACTTTGTGGTTTTGTCATGGCTTGGGTGGAGGGGACAGGGAGGGCCTGATGCTCGTGCTGGGTATTGGATTCGAGTGGGATGTGAGACCTGGCTGTTCCCTGGGAGCAGCTCTCACAGCAGCTCCCTTGGGTGGGTGCCAGAGGAAGTGGTGTGGCCGTGCCTGCTGGGGTTGGGGAGCAGGGCTCAGGGAGCCTGGCCTTGCACAGGGATCAGGGCAGCCCTTGGAATGCTGGCAAATCCCACCTGAGCCACAGGCCGGGCAGAGCTGGATCGGAGCCAGCTCCTGCATGACACAGCATGAAATGTCTGCTGGGCCCTGGCAGGCACTGCTCGGGGCTAAAGGTTGGGATTGCAGGGACACCGGGGCTTCTGCAGCCTCGCAGATCCCCATCCTGCACTGGCTGTGGGCAGGGAGATTCCTTAGGAGGGTGCAAGAAGCGGATCTTGCTTATATCAGGGTAAGAAACAACTGGAGTGATGCTTCCTGGAAGCTTAAATGAGGAGATTGCTCAGAGGAGAGCTGTCATTAACCCAGTTCTGTAGGACTTGGTTTAAAATAGAATTTTTGTAGAAAGCTGGTGGTCAGCCCTGGGCTGGCTGAGCCTGGTCAGGGATGTGTCAGTATTCCAGGTTCTGAATCTGGACAGAGGAGCCTGACACAACAGGGTCAGCTGCATTTGGAGGGAATGCTGTGCTTGGGGCAGGTGTGCAGGACACAGCACAGCAGCATGTCCACAAGTGCTGTGACAATTCCACTGCTCCAGGCTCAGCTCTCCAGGGAAGCCTTAGCAGAGATGCAGCTCTGATAGAAGCTGTGTGGGAGAGCAGAGTGCCAAGTGATGGGGCAATGCCAGAGTGGAATTATCATCCCTGGCACAGGCTGGGACTGAGCAGTTCCTGCCCTGCCTGTGACCTGCTGCCTGACAAACAGCTTCTCCTAATCCCTTAAACCAAAAGCCTGTGCAGTAGCTGAGCTGTCCTGGACAGCAGAAGCTCTGAGAACAGTGGTGGTGTTCCACCAGGTCGGCAGGAAAGGTTGTTCCACTGGATCTGGGAGCCTTTGTTGTGCTGTAACATGAACTGCCGGCCTTGCCTTGGAATGCTTTGGGTGCAGGGCACATTGTGAGATTGCCGTGTCTTGCAGGCACGTGGGAGACCTGGGCAATGTGACTGCCAAGGGAGGCGTGGCCGAGGTGTGCATCCAGGATTCCGTCATCTCCCTCTCGGGACCACACTGCATCATTGGCCGCACCATGGTGGTGAGTGGGGGCCCCGGGCAGGGACAGGGCAGCCACAGCCAGCCAGCCATACCCATCCCTCTGTGCCAGCCTCCTGGAGAGGTCTCTCTCGGACTCTGCTCTTCCTGCTGTGGGTGCCTGAATGGCCCTTGGGCAGCTCCAGTGGGAAGTTTTCAGCATGGAGATGAGGGTGTAGCTGCTCTGGAGGTGCTGCTGCTGCCAGGGGCAGTGATGGCTGGATTAATTAAGGTCCCTTTGCCTGTGCTGCAGGTGCACGAGCGGCGGGATGACCTGGGCAAAGGGGGCAATGACGAGAGCCTGCTGACCGGGAACGCGGGGCCCCGCCTGGCCTGCGGGGTGATCGGGATTGCCAAGTGCTGAATGCTGCCTGCAGTGCTCCTCCTGCTGCTCCTGCCCCTCCTGCAACTTGAGATGTGTCATCCATGTCCTGCTCCTCTGCATCCCGAGCAGCACTCGCACGCCGGAGACTGACCGACTTTTGTATGATGTACATTCAATTAAAGTGTCCCTGATGGAATGGCTCTGTGGTCTGTGCTCACCTCCTGCTGCCACCGTTCCGTGTCACCTCCCTGCTCTGAGGGAAGATGTGCAGTGCTCCTGTCCCAGCCCCTGGGTGTGTCAGGCTTCCTCCTGGGGCAGGGGCAGCATTTGTAGGCTTCAAACTTGTGTAATAAATGTTCTGGGCAGATACACCCGGGTCTGGCTGTCTGTGAACAGGAGAAAAAACCCAAAGGCCCAAACCTGCTCCTGCTGGGAAAGGGGGCCTGGGCTTCAGCAGGTGCATGGTTGAATTCCATCCAGGAAGAGGTGCCAGGTAGAATCCCAGGAGTGCTACTGTGTGCGAGCCTCCATCCTGTTGGGGTGTGTCCTTCTGAAGCAGATTTCAGGCTCTCTCTTCACAGAGAAAATGAGTTATTTTAATGAGGACTTGTACTAATGTTCCTTTCTTCTGCCCGTCAGGATATTCACAGAGTAGCAGGCTGTAGTTCCAGGTAACCCCACTCCACTGAGGCCCAGGACTAAGGGAACTGGAACTGGGTAGGAGAGCAGGAATACTGTAAAAAGACTTTGAACTTACGTTCCCTGTTGCTGCCAGAGCAGTGTGTGAGTCTTCACCTCCCCGTGCCTCCTCCAGAGGGCTGCTGCTGTGAGGGCTGTGCACAGGCACTGCTGCAGAGGGTGTACAGAGTTATTCCACAGTTTTCCAGGCTTTCAGATCCCTACTGAGGCAGAGAACAGGGGTGGGATTTGCATGAACAGAGCAGCCTTGTGCTTCTCATTGTCTCCAGCTCTTTAAGGAGTAAAACAAACCTTCCTTCCTTACAGAGCTGGGGCAGCTTTTCCCAAGGCTCAAACCTGGATTTGTGGGACAAGGGAATGTCCCGTGGGCCCGGCAGGAAACAACCAGTGAGGACACGAGTTTTAACACATGGAAGTTGAGGTCACTACAATCTGTAAACAGGTTCTTTCTCTCTTTATTCTGCTATTGCAAGAACATAAAAATAGATGTCCTCTCCCCAGAGCTCCACAGTGGCTCTCCCACCCTCTCCCCCCCAGAGACAATTCCCTCTGCCCTTTTTTCCAGCAGGGCAGCTGTAAAAAAGGACTGATGTAAGGAAGCAGCTGCCCTTCCCTTGGGGCAAAATCCCCAGCTTTAAAGGTAGAACACACCTATAGCAAGGAGAAAAAAACCACTGAATACACACAGGATTCAAACACTGGTGCTGCTGGGGTTATGGGAGCTCTGAGCCACGTGGGGTGGGCAGAACTTCCCACAGCATCCCTGCCCAGGGATCAGCCACGGAGACACCGCACCTGCCCTCGGCACAGCTGACAGCACACGAGGAGGTGCCACAACACCACAACAACAAACACCCTCTGTCCCCAGCCCGGGGGACACAACCTACCTCTGGCAGGGCGAGCGGGAGCAGCCCCGTGTCCATGGAGGGAGGGCCCAGTCCTTGGCCAGCCCCGCCTGCAATTGTGGTGCCTCCGAGGTCTCGCTCCCATCCCAGCACGTACAAAAGCTGCAGAGCAGGCACTGCCCAGCCTGGCACACACCGTGTAACCTCAGAGCAGATGCTCGGTGCCTGAAGGGGTCGCTTCTTAAAAAAAGGCAAATTAGGAGCAACACGAACCACAGAACCAATTGAAGGGAGGGAGGGAGGGAAAAAAAAAATAAAGCAAAGAATGGATTGCATTGCAAACACTAAAACAGTTAACTCTGCAATTAACATCTTAAAACTAACTTTTACCCGGGGTGGTCAAGTAGCTCATTAAAATGCAGCAATCTAAAACTCCAGAGGACTGTTACAAATAAAAATTCACTTCTGTGAATCGCTACACAAACAGATGGATTTCCTTTAACAAACACAACCAAACCAGTCTAATTTAGACTCCAGTACAGCATTAACAGTTCCATCTTTAGGCTGCTGAACATTCCTTTTCCACTTCAGTGCAGCGTAGGAAGAATAGCACACGTTAAAAGTTTGTTACGAAAATAGAGTTTATTAAAAACACATCCCTATTGTTTTGAGGAGCTTTCACCGTTACCTTTTCTTAAATTAAAAAAAAAATAGAAAGCACTTCTACTTCTGATTCGTAAACTTTTTAAAGTCAAAACTTTAAAAAAGTTACAGCAAAAATGGGTAATATTTTAATCATCTCTTCAGTATTTTATGTTATGTTGTGGCTATTTTAAATAGAAGGGAAGCAATCAAATTGCTCACGGCGCCCCGCCTCGGGGCGCAGGGCGGAAGCGGATTTACAGCACTGTACAAGCCCCGCCGGGCTCCGCGGCCCGGGCGGCCCTAGCGCGGCGCCTCGGCCGCCGAGCCCGTGTCCTTGTCCGCCTGTTCCAGGGATGAGGTAGCCTCGGGCGCTGACTCCGGCGCGGCGCTGGCGCCTGCGGGCTCGGCGTCTCCCGCAGCCAGTTCTGAAACAAGTTCCGCGCCCTCCGTTTTGCCGCCGTGCGACTCGTGGTTTTTGTCGCCCTCCGCCCTGTCTGTCACCTCCGCCTTCTCCTTGCCGCGGCTCTCCTCCTTGTCTCTGCGCGACTCCCGATCCCTGGAATCCCTCTCCCTGTCTCGGTGGCCGCTGGAGCGCCTGTTCCTGTCCTCCGAGTCCCTGTGCCGGTCGCGCTCGGGGCTGC